AACTTCCACCTAAACATAATAAAGAATCTACTAACCTCTAGTTGAAGATTTCAGTATTTCCTGTTCCATGGTAAGCGTGCTCCTGACTTCCAGAAACATTCTCAAAAAAGCCTTTCCAACTTCAAGGAAGCTAACAAATATCAAAAAAAAAAAAAAAAAAATAAAGAACACCCAAAACCCAAGCAAAACAAGCAATCAAAAAACCACAAACCCAAACAAACAAAACCATTTAGAAAAATAAAAGATGATTCAGACATTGTTAATGGGATTTCCATAGACGATAGCCCAATGGGTCAGGAAGCACAGAGAACGAGAAAATACTAGCAACTCAGTGAGGCAGGATTAAAAGTACAAAGAAGAAATAGGGCAAAGTTAAGGTAAAAAAAAACATAGAAAAATGGAAACATGATGAGGTAATTAATAACAAAGGTATTAAGAGTTAATAGTGATTAGACAATACCAAACACCCTCCTCCTGTTCTACATCTCTATAATTCTGTGCCACTTCCTCCCTTCTAGAAGCAGTCTACATTGCCTGTTCCTTTATGTACAAACTTAATTCTCACATATCTTAAACACAGGGGGCTTGAAAACTTCTTCCACTGAGATGCACACTAACAGCACTTTCCTTGCATGTGGGGCAAGTTAGGAAACACCCATACAGAGAGGTAGGATGGCTCATCTGCGACACGTTACGCTAACATAAATTGGCTATGTTTGGTACAGGCCAGAGCCTAAATGAACCATGACTCATGAGCCCAAACAGAAAGAACAGTTTAAGAAAGGTATTTTACAAAGGCAAGAGCAAAGACTTGAGTCCAGTAACAATTCAAATACAGGAGAAGACAATTAAAGGACAGGTTAGACAAATATTTTAAGTTTTGGATAACTGTATTTTGGAAGGCTGCAAAAACAAAAATGCATATTATGAAGGTAGGAACATAGGCACCTAAGGGCTTCAGGACCAATCAATTATGGAGAAAGTATGAAGGAGTAGATGGAGATGAGGGAATAACAAAAAAAGAATAGAAGAAAGAAAATCAAACTAAATTTCACAACATCTAAAAGCACCAGCATTCTTCTCAGGGAATGTAATAGTTTTCCTAACTGCAAATTTATGCAACAGGTCAAATATATGTTGGCCTCATTTTCTTTGATGGCAGATTGTGTAGATCAGATATCAGAGCCTAAATACGTTGTTTATGCAAAGACTGCAAATTAAAAACAACTAATGGTGGTCCCAGAGAAAAGAACTGGAAATGGAGTAACTCCCTAATGATGAATTCTGGGGTTTGAATGCTATCAAAGCAGAAATTATATTCTATTTTATGCAGCTAATAAAGGTCAAACATCTGAAAACATGGACTAGGATGCATTTGAAACTGTAACATGAAGGAAACTAATACTGGAGATTGAAAAAGTGAGAGCTTTGCATAAAAATGATTTATGAGTGTATTTAAACACCTCTCACTTCCTTCTGTTATGAAGAAAATTAAAAAGGCCCACAACAGGCTGGAATTAAGAGGTTGCAGTGTGAAAATAAGGCTAGTGAACTTGTAACCTATAGATAAAATGCAGGAAAAAAAGTCAAATTTCAGACAATAAAAATACAAAAACATGGTAGGACTAAGGGCCAGAGATGCTGTTGAATAATCCATCATTTTTAATTTCTGTTTTATGCTTTCAGGCATGTGGATATTATGGAGAAAACTCTAGAATAATACATTAATGAGTTTAGCATGCCATGGCTAAATCAGGATCAGTTAGATCCTGACTTAGAATAAATAACAGACAAGTGGAGGCTGTAAAAGAATGAAATTAATGCTGATATGCAGAGTCCAGAATAAAACAGTGAGTTTATACTATAGATTGGAACCAGATTGTTTTTACAGAATAGGAAGACTCTTAATGAAAGTCACAAGGCATATTGAAACATGGGTAAGACCACTGCTCAAATGATAAACCTGAACAAACAGAATAATCTTGTACTAACATTCATATATCATATGGATAGCTATATCCAAGTGTATTTATCAGTTACTAAAGTGACCCTTTTAACAAGTTAATGAAAGTGGGAAGTAGGATACTCGGTGTATCTGTGACATTTCTTCTTGGTTTACATTACAGGGAATATTTTAAAAGAAACATGAATGCCAATAGGATTCTGAGAAATTAGTATCAGACAATTCTGATAGGAATATCTCATGACTGTAGCATTCTGAAGGAAAACAAGTTCACTAATAGAAATGGAATACACTTGTTAAATCAATAAATACACTTATTGACATTTAATGTTATTAACACTTCTAGGTTGTTATGTCTGCTATTAATGACAAAATGGATTTATAAGAAATTTTTTTTAACTTTAGGGTGTGTATAAACAATTCAATAGATTTAAAACCAGTAACATGAGAAGTGTAACTTTCACATGCTTACAGTTTATCAATTATTTTATTTTGGCACAGTATATCAGGGATATAAAATTAAAGATTTTTCGAATACTTATGACTGCATTAACAGCCAAGAAAATACAATCTTAGACTTTGATTTTATCCACTCAGAAAATACATTTAAAATTACAGCTGTTATTTCTCTTGATTTCAGAAAACTCCCTACTACAAATCACGCTAATAAAATTAATGTTTAACAACTCAGCTTTATTTATATACTTAAAGAACAATACTTAACAGTACCGAAAGCACACTGAAAACCAAAAAATTTATAATTTTTCATAGTAATGAAAGCTAATGACAGCATTAATTGCTTTTCTTAGGACACCAAACAATTGTGACAAAAGTTTCGGTCACAAACAACTTGAAATTAAGGGAGGAACATTCTTTTCTTATTCCATATTTTTTCCTCTGACAATTGTTAATGTTCTACTTTTGGTTCACAGTTAATTCTGATAAAGAAACAGGAACTTGGGAAACACACAGATGGCCACATGCTATAAATTATGTGGTAGTCTTACGTGGGTGGTATGTAAAATACTGTTTCTTCACTCCCTCATCTCAAGCCTGAAATCAGAAGGCACTTGGTGCTCACTATATCTTTTACATTTTCTGGTTTTAATGTATGCAAGAATTTTCTGATCTCAAAAAAATAAGTCTTGTCAAGTAAGAAAACTTTTATGTAACATAATCTCTCAAAATCTAAACTGCTTTTCATTAATGATGACTCTATTCTCTCCAGAGGAAAGGTCCACACAGGAAGAGTACAAGAAAAGGAGCAAACCCAACAAGAAAAAGATACGTTCAAGTATGACTGAAGTGGTTTAGAATGTTACCCAGATCCGTTGTTGAAAATATTTCTGAAACAGATAGCTTTGGAAGCTGGTCACCTGAAGACAGTGAGAAAACAGATGTGAGAAAGGAAGGACCTGATCATGCATCAGATGGAATCCAGACGTGACAATTAGAGTTAATGAACCACGACCCATGAAGCTGCTTCAGCACCTTTTTACAACCACACTTCATGGCCTTAATAAAAGTACCAGCGCTTATTTTAGAGACCACATCTGCTTTAAATTCCAAAAGGAGAATCTTTAAATTCAGATGCTATGTTTGGTTTCTTCCCCACTCTTCATTCATGTATAAGGTATATTTAACAACAGCATATTTACTTTTTTATCTGTTCAGTCAACAGAATATCAGTACTGGAAGATAATTTTTTACAATGAGATTGCACTGTTATACTAGTTATTTAATTTACGTTAACATTAATAAGCTCCTGAAGCTGTCTGAAAAGTAGCAGGCGAATATTTTCTCCAGTATAAATTTCTCCAGTATAATGGCATTTATATTCAAGTATTTCTTTATTTCAGGTATTTGCAAAATTTATAGTATGCTTTACAAATATTAGGTTAATTTGCTGCTTTTTGTAATATGTCTCACTCAGTCTTGATACTTGAAGTCCTCCATTTCTTTACAGAGCAGGTATGGCTAATGAAGCAATACCTCTTTCTCCCCAAAGCCCAGAAGATCTCCTGAACTTCTAAGTCCCAGGCTGGAATAGATCTTCCTTGTCTCATGGGCAAAGCATTTCTGCTGTTTTTCAGTTTTTGGATCCTAACTGTTTCCTTAGATGTCAAAAACCAGTATTACAACTTCACCATTTCTTCTGTCCACAAGTGAAAAGAAGCAAGGAGAAGGAAAAGTAGCTCATAGGCTAGTTGTTAGAAGACTCCCTTTTGCATATTAGATGTCTCGAAGGACTCTGTACTGGGCTATGAGGTATAACATATAGAGGGAAGAAGAAGTAATTTTGTTCTTCACAACAGTGATGAGTAAAAATACCAAGAAATTGACTTTGTTGTCACAAAGCTTCAGGTGGTAGTTGTTCAGCAGCCTAATTACAATCCATTTTTTTCAGATTGTCAGTGTTTTTCAGGAAAGTAAGTAGAATGTCTTATTTTGTAATATAGCTAACATTAACCCAAAATCCTCGTTTCTTTCTCTCTAGGAAAAGGGGACAAGGCAGGTTGCTTTTAGAGCCTCTCAGCAGTTTCCCCAGGTCACCATAATGCCTGCATTTTGTCCTCTGCTATTATACATAATGGAGAATTGATACAGGATAGATAATTCTTGATTTTCTATACCAGGCATATCTTCCCCCACCCTCTTCCTAAGATGTTTTTCCAGTTACATCAGGTTGCAATGTTCTTCCCTGCCTCACTGAGGTCCAAGGCTCACTGCATGCTAACTTGCCTATCTTTTCCAGTGCCACAACAGTTTCTGTAGAATCCTAGCTACATTTCTTGATGTTTCCTGACTCCCCTACTTGCCCTCCCCACAGCAGGGGTCATGAAATAGCATGGGCAAAAAAAGAGATCCCCAGGAATCCCAATCTATTTAATCTGTAAGAAATTCAGTTCATTCTTTTCTTCTAGTAGATATTTTTAGATGAAACTGTTAACCCCTCTCCCCCGAGTTGATATTAGTCATTAATTTACAAATTTATTAAGCTCCATATCAATCCATGACCCAATCAATGCTAGAGAAATTTGCTGGAAGGATAATATCATGTTTTATTGACATTATTTGTCAGCCCAAAGGTCTGATGTGTATACAGTACTAGCACAAAAATGCTTTTCCCAAACAAATCAATTCATTATGAAAACTTGTATCTAAGTTTAAAATGCTTTTTATTGATAGTAAGCAATTCCAGGAACACATTTCCAGTTTATGCCTTGACAAAGCCTCCTACAGAAAGAGGTACTATTCCTCTTTTTTTTATAAGAAGCAGAAAAAATCCACACTTTAGGCAACATTCTGCTCTGCTTGCAGGACTCAGTGGGAGCTGGTCCCTAATGCTGATCTTCCACTGAGTTCCCACCGTCTGGTTCAGGAACCCGCAAAAGCAAGATACTCTGTGCAGAGCAGGAAGCTTGCAAAGAGCTTGGAGACAGCATCTGATAGCCAGCTGCATCCCAGTTCCCTCTTCTCACCAAGTTAAGAAGTGATTGGTCACATCCTGATTCTAGGGAAGACAAAGGCATCTCAGCAGTTGGTACCTCTTTAACTCTGAACTGGAAAAAAACATCATTCAGAAGTAAGAATCCAGTTTGGTCTTGCACATGGATATGTCTGTAGTATGTGCAGGACTTCATCAGGAGTTTTGGCACCTCAAGGGAAGTGGCTTGCAGAGCTTTCCATTATAAAACCTTTCCGTACTTTAATTAACAAATTAAATAATAAAACACTTCAGTTTATTCTAGTAAGTGTTCTCAATGCAAAATGTCTCCCATTTTATAAATTACTTGGCAATAAAAGTGACTGCAAACTGTCTGTCCCAGTATCTACACTGTCGTTAAGACAAGTTTGGGTTTATATTGTTTTGTTTTAACCTTCTAAAAGCTCACTAAATGCTACTGATATTCAAAACATGGTCAAAGTAGTGAAAAAGAGAAGTTTAAAAATTAGCAATATTTTAATATCAAAATATAGTGTTTGCTGCAAATACCTTCTGCCTTGCTTAAACATGAAACCAAGTTTTTTTAAATATGTGTTTGGAGAACACACATAGCAGTGAACAAGCCACCCACAGCCCAGGGGAATGATGTTTTAAAGGCTCACTAGTTCAATAATTTCCTTCAACCCAACAGTACTTCAGTAAGGAAATAACAGAAAAAAATAATTCTTTTTACCTTCAGGTGTCATATAAACATATTTAGTGAAAGATCTCTCTGTAAATAAATTTTTCTAAGAGAAAAGGCTCTCTTGAGTCTCCTAAGCATTTACGGTTTCACAAGCTGTTTCCAAGTCATTTATTTATCCAAGGATGAATGAACCCAACAAGGATCCATGTTCTAGCAATTTTGATTTAAAAGCAACAATAAATTGAATTTCTTTGTAAATTTATTTCCTTTGGTCTTTAATTAATTTAATTTATTGCTTATTGTTATAAAGACATTTAATCTGCAAAGCAGTTATTTTGATTAAAAAGAAACCACTGTTTCTCATCCAGTGTTGTCATCCAAAGCAACACATGGTTGTGGGGAGATACATGTCATTGTTGACATAAAGGTAAGAGAGCTCAGAACTGTGATTTGGAAAATCCAGATCAAGCATACATGTTCAATCCTTGTGAGTTACAGTCCAAATTTTTGCATACACTCTAAACAGAACTGAAATGAACTTTCCGATCTTTTAACTAATAGTAGACACATGGAACCACCCTTCTAGTGAAGTAAGTGTATTTAAAAATGTCATGTGTAATAATTAAATAACAGAAATAGAAAAAAAAAATCTATGTGCACATTCCCAATCCATGTTTTCAGTAGCCTATGTCCCACTTTGCATGATGAGTGAGACATAGTTTTAAGAAGTGTCATAGTTTAAACCCAGCCACACAGCTTGTTCACTCACTCCCCCCCTTCCTCCCTCATTCTTTCCTTCCCCCCCGCCCCCCTCCCTGCTCCCGGGGGGATGGGGAGGAGAATCGAAAGATGTAACTGCCACGGGTTGAGATAAGAGCAGTCCAGTAACTAAGGTATAACACAAACCACTACTGCTACCACCAGTAATAATAATGGTAAAGGAAATAACAAGGGGAGAGAATACAATAGCACCCGCCAAAATGAGTCTGACCCCAAAAGAGAGCCTGTGCCCTTCTGGGTATCTCCCAGTTACCTCCTCGTGCATGACATGCTGTGGTACGGAATACCTCATTTGTTAGTTTGGGTCAGCTGTCCTGTCTCTGCCTCTCCCCGGCTTCCCCTCCTCTCTGGCAGAGCATGAGACTCACAAAGTCCTTGATCAGGGTAAACATGACTTAGCAACAACTAAAAACATCAGTGTTATCAGCTCTATTCCCAGGCTGAAAGTCAAAACACAGTGTTGCACGAGCTACTAAGAAGGGGGGGAAATTGACTGCTACTGCTAAACCCAGGACAAAGAGTTATCATCCCACTTTCAAATGGGAGAACATACCAGGACTGGATACCAAGTATCTCTGATATAGACAGTAAAATGTTGGCCTACAATGAAAAGAGGTATAAATGTGAAAAAGTCCTGTGTTCTTATGAAGTTGCCACTGCAAACAGAAACTGTCATTAGGTATAGATAAATTTCAACTTCATTTTGAAAGCTCTCTTAACACAAAAACTAACATTAAATATACTCCAGAGAAATTTCTCTCCACATGAAAAGACCCTCTGAACAGATCACTGTAAACTCTGGATCTTTCTGAGTTAAGAATCTGATTGCAGATCAGTTTAAGCTGAACTGGGAAGAAACTACTTTAAGAATATTCACACAGGAGTTGTACTACTTTAAAAAGGTTTCACAAAAAATCTACTTGACCTTTTTGTACAGGCAAAGACAGTCTTTTACAGATGTGTTGGCAGATACCACTGTACAGAGGTAAAATCACTTCTTACATGATTGTCCTGTCACAACAAAACTAATTTTAATGATCTGTCGTTATAAAAGCTACTGGAACATTAAAGGCATCATACATAACCATTGCTTAATCATTAAGAGACAGGAAGCAACCATACATGCACAGTAAAGAGACCTTTTACTAGGGACATTCAACATACAGTTATACTTTACCTAGTTGTTCTACTCATGCATTATTATGTTCTGTCAGAGGACAACAACATCTCTCCTTCCACTTTGAAGAGTTGTAAACCTTCCTGCAGGTAATTTCTGCATTTCTTGAATATCTTCCTTCTCTTGTCACACTAATATCCTCACTTCTATCACATACAGTAAAGTTTTCCATCTGTAAAGAATCCAGGTAAAGATTCTGGCAATAGACAGGTCTTTCTTGTAATGTAAATCTGGTCCTGTCAAAGTCAGGAAGATTTTGCAGTTGAATTCAGTTCAGGATACTGAGTAGGTGAAGTAATTATTTTCTTATTCTGAGATCTAGCGGCTCTTGGTCCTTAGTTCCACTCATAAAGGGTACTATTTCTGCACTGACTCTTGTTCTCCTTGTTAAGCTCTAGTATGATAATAACACTAAGAAGCAGAAATGAAAGAGGACTATTAGTTGAGAAGGTTAATTTTAAGAACTGATGGAAAGTACTTGACCAAAAATATGGATATAAGCTATGAACTTTAATGAGGTAATAAAAAATAGTGAGAAAAAAAAACAGATGTATGGACAAATATTTTACATGAAATTATATAAAGAATTAATCATACCAGATTACCATTGCAGCAGTATAGAATTCTTACATAGTAAACTAACAGTTGAAAGCCATATGAGATTATTATTTACACATACACTGAATAAAAGTTTACTATAACAGACAGTATTTAATAAATCTTCCAAGAACCCTTGCAGCTATAGACCTTTCATTTTGAATGGAAATATGTTTATATTATCAAGCAACATAATCCAGTTTTTATTCTTAGTACTGTCATTTAGTAGTACTTCTGACTGTCAATAAGCAGTATGTAAATTTGTACTAGCTAGTGATCCAGTCATCAATTTCTAGATAAACACAATAATTTAAAATATTCTTCTTCTAAATCTTGTATCACACATACACATACATATATTCCAAGTTATTTTGCTGCAGGAGAACAGCTCTTATCCATCATAAACAAAGAAGCCATAACATGAAGAATGCCTGTTTCACAGCACAAATGTTATTTCTGCTTTCTAATACTCATGTAGATTTTTAGTTTCCTGACTTATTTGCACCACAGTGAAGTATCCAACCTAGTTCAAAGCTAATGATGTGTAACGTGTTAAACTTGGTGGCTGAATAAGATACTTACATTCAAAAACAGTGAGGAATAAATAAATGAAGGGAGGAGAGAGGCACTGACAAACACATCCATGATTCTGAGGAAGTCATACTTAAAGAAGGAACATCACACCATTTCTATGCAAACAAGTTCTTACAGTCTGAGCCACAGCTACACTAGCTTTTCTACACTAGCTTTCTACCTGGGCACTCTTGTACTTGAAGAGGGGTGGCTTTTACATCTTAAGCTTAACTCAATTTCAAAGATGACTAATAACAATGCTCTTGGTTCAAGATAAGATTTAAAGTTAATACTTTCTGCATACTATTTTCTTGCACCAGAAAATTCTTAGTCAGCCATCTCCATCCATTTCCAAATCAGACTACGGGTGAGTGTCTACTCTTTCACTTGAAAATGGTTCCGATATCTAGCCCTCAAGCACTAATGTAGTCATGTCATATGAACTGATACTTGAAAAAGTCTAACATTCATCTTAGTATTTTTTGAACAACTAGCAAACAAGGAAAACAAACAGGAAGATCCTGTTTGGAAACCGTTCACTTTGAAGGACTGACAAAAGCTACCTCACTACAGCTGCAGCAACCAAATAACACTTTCTATGACCGGCAGAACAGAGTAGCACACAGTGTTCATAGGGGATGTCTTTGATCCTAAGACTATCATTTACCTGTGTTACGGGTCATTTAATTATTTGTCTTCTCAGTCAATATCCTTTGATGTAACAAATTCAGGATGCCAGTGCTCTGGTATACGGAGAAGTAATTAATTCCAGCAATAATGTCTTCAAAGATGACATTGCAATAGAACACAGACGAAAAAGCCACCAAGAAAAAAAGTTAGACATAAATAGAATCTCTAATTCAGCTAAGAACCAAACTCTGAGTGTTAGTCTGAGCGAGTTATTTGGAGTAGTTAGCCTTTTTCTTTCTTTTACATGACACTTGTAAATGTTGGATTTATGAAATTGGATTTAACAGATGTAAATTCATGGGACTATATGTTTATATATTCTAAAGAAAGGTCATATTAAAGTGCTAAAAATAGCACAATAAATAACTCCACCCTTTCTGGGCTTTTCTTATTCCTGTCTATAATGTACCAAGGCTCCTTATTATTTTCTAATTTTCTCTGAAGCTCACTCTTGAGGTGACCTGGATTACAAGCAAATATTCCCACTTCTACCCTTAAATCCTTAGAACCAGAGTGACAGCAAAAATACAAACCTCAGAAGACTGAGGTTACACCTGCATAAGCAAATAGTGCAGCCCCATGGGAGAAGGCTTATAGAGCAAAGTTGGTGCCAAGGATGCAATATTCCTACTGCATGCACTTCAGGTGTGTTTACTTAGACTAGTAGATAACAGCTTCTGTGGCCCAAATGCCCATTAACAATTGGACATCATCTGTTGTACTCATCTTCAATTCATAAGTAGTACAGAAAGAATCCAGTTTACAGTTTCTGATATTGCTTCATGACATGAAGTAAATCACAGTAAATGGGCATGATAAGATTTACATCAGGAGGGAATATCCCAAAGTTCAACAGGGAGCTGGACAGCGTATGATGTCATGAATGTACATAGTTAATATAGCTGCACAAAACCTCGAATTTTAATAGGCTTACCTATTTTTTTAGAATTCAGGTAAAGTACTTAGCCCTAAAATTTGATATTTCACTCTGTTTCTCACACTTTGATTCTAAAGAGTTCAACTCAAATTAGGTCTGGAAACAGTCCTGCTTAAAGATTACAAGTTTGCATATTCCTTTTGGGTTACTACTGTGGATTTAGACTTTAAGATTACTCTTTGAGGTGTATTCTCTAATTTATTTATTTTTTTAATCTACCTATTATCTTATTCATAAGAGTTTTCTATAAAGAAGTAATTTACCAGACTCAAAGGTACGACCTCTTCAACTAGGTGAAACAGATGAACTTGAAAAGAAAGGCATGTGAAACCTGACATATTTTTCAGGGTGGCAGGGTCTGATGGTAAGAAATTGTCTTTATTTCTACCCATGATTGCTTATTTCTATTAGGGGATGATGACTCCAGTAAAAGCCATTTTTTTTCTAATATAGCATAACAAAAAAAGTGAAGAAAGTTTTGAACAGTATGTCAAAGAAGTGTCCTCACCATTTTAATTATTTTATCTTTGGATGTACCATTTAACTGCCCCTTACTGTGGAAATTATATAAAAGGTTAGCAGTTTATACTTGGATGCAAGCCCAAAGTAATAACTGAAATTATTATTGATGAAAACATAGTGCTTCAACTGTTGGCTCTATGCTTCAGTGTATTTTTGCTCAAGCAAAAGATTGTGAAAGTGAAACCTTACAGCTTGAGAACACTATAATGCTCTGGAAGACCTGCACTTCTGTTTGTTAGTGAGAAAAGAGTGAAAAACCACTTATAAAGATGGAACATTTTCATCTTTTCTTTCTCCAGGTATCCTGGGGAAGCCTGAAAATAATGGATATGTGGCAAATAGTCCCCATGTGGCTTCTTCCAGTCCTTCGTATCAGCACTGTCAAAGCTTGATCTACAAGTTGATTTAACATGGCCACTCAGAATGGTTGCTTTCATATGAAACCTCCTTATCTACCTGCTTTGGTTGTGATAGATGGAGGAGGTCATGGCCTTGGGAGGAGTCACTTGCAGATTTTCCCTCTCTCTTTTTCCTTTAGTTTGTTATTTTAAAGGGAATCTGAGGGGTGTTATTTACAGCCCTGTTAAGGAAGATTAGCAGAACTGAAAGAAAATAATACAGATATAAATTTTATGATGTTATTGCTCCAGGCCTAAAAAGATGAAAGTACAGTGCTAATGGCAGTGTTTTGGTGTTTGCTTTTAAGTTGTAGCAAGGAACAGGAAGGTAAGAAAAACATATTTAAAAAGGTAGTAAAGGGCTATGATATGGAAAGGTGCCTTTGGGTACCCAGTAATTCTCCTCCTTTTCCTCTTCCTTCCTGTTTTCCTCCTCTTCCTTCTTTCCCATCTCCTTCTTCCTTCTCCTCTTTTTCACTTCCCTCCTCCTCTTCCCCTTCCTCCTCCACTTTTTTCTGCTTAAACATGGAAGTTGAAACAAAGCTTTCTCTACAGTGTATGCTCACATGTTTTTTCATACTACGTGTTTTTACCAAGCTGGAACATCAAGCACCCCTTAAAATTACCAATCACTGCTTGTTTCAGAATGCTGCTATGAACATTATGCATGCATGTGCAGAAATTCCTTTTGAGACCTGAAGTCTGCAGTCAGATACACTTGTAGCCACAGTTTTCACTATCTCAAACCCAGCCATAACACCTATCAACATCTATGAATCACTAACTTTGAGCAGGAATAAATTCCATAGGATGACTAAACACTCAGGAAAATGTTCCCCTATTTTAACAGCATCTTTTTCTCCATTTGCTACACCTGCCTCATAAGAGCATTCAGATCCTTTTGCATCCTTGAGTTTACACTAGTTGTACAGCTTGAATGATAGTATAGGGTAACACTGTCTCTCCCTTTTAAAATCCAGACTGACAGTGGCAGAGTGTAAACTGATGTATTTTTATATGAGAAAAAAAAATCATAACTTGTGGAGGTGCTATAACTACTGTATTTATTAAGATGTTTCTAATTCTTATGTTTCATTTATGGTTTGGAAGAAAAATTGTTGAAATTTAAGTAACTAGCTTTCAGCCAGCATTTATTTGATTTAAACTCATTTTGCAGTTTGAACACTTTTTGGTTGTAGATTTAAAAGCAAAAAGTCAAGGACTGACCTAACTTAAAAACAAAAATTCCAAAAGTTGTCTCTTCCTGAACATCGTTTAAACACCCTCCTACTTGACAGTAATAACACTGCTCTTCTTTGAATGATAACATGAGCTTAAAGAGTGAATTCCAAAGGAAGTAAAAATATCTGCAAAGCCACATGCCAATGCTGGCACAAACTTGGGAGATCCGTTACAACTTATTCCAAGACCCTGAAGCTGAGTTACTGGGGATGGCATAAGCTATTATCACTGTAGTTGATGTGACCTTGGCATATTCAAACTGAGTTATAAAAAATGGTAATAAAACAAAGGCATGACCAAAAGAATACAGTCTGGAAGGAAGATGAGGGTTGGATACATAAAATGGGGGAAAGAGAAGAAGATAAAGCTAAAAGACATACAGAATGAGTTATGGGTAGAGGGATTAGGGAAGGAAACAGAAACAGGATGAAGAAAAAAAAAAGACACTCAAGCGAAAGAAACAGATTTTGGACATAATGTTTTTTACTTAACTGTCTATCCCTTTTATCAGGAATTACTCAAGAACTACCTCTCTTCATTGTATCACTTAAACGACTTTTAGATGTTTAAGACCTTTTTCTTTCCAACTTGTCTCTTAGTCTGTCTCTCTAGGTCTTCAGACTTTTATTTAATGTCTTCAATGGAAGTTTTTGTACTAACCTTGGCCAAACAGCTGCTCATAAACACATTCAGAAGGAATGTTTTGTTTGCTTTTCATAAGTTTCAGGTATAGCTTGATAGCAGTGCCATTATTGCCACCAGCAGCACTGAAGGAACGACACCTGGAAAGCAAAATATCTTCTCTTTTTGTCATATGAATAAAACTAAGCTCAGCAAGTCCAAGAACACAAACTCAGCAACAATAAAATACATGGAAGAAGAAAACTTTAGCAGAGAAAAAAAAAAAATCCCTATGAAAAGAAAGAGAAACTGAGAAAGTACAAGATGTTATATGATATATGATATGACAAGTTCAAACAGTGCCTCCTTACCTTTGCCACTGAAGGGAATTAAGACTGGTCAAAGCCTTGCGAAGGAAGACAGATCAGTACCTGCAGATTCAGACTGAAAGTTCTCATATAGCAAAGCTGTTAAGCAAGTGCTCAAAATTACATCTCTTCAGCAAACAGCCCTTGAATATATGCCTTAACAGCCTTATTGAGCAATGATGGCTCATTGAAATGAGGCCTGAGAGCAACCATAGCCCCAGTGAAGCTGGAGAGTTACCCAGTGACAATGTTGCACCTCTGTAATTGAAATCGTGGTGGTTTCCAGCAATCTTAGATTTAAAGTGGTTAACTTTTCTGTTTTAAATGGTTTTCCCATATTTAGACTCTTTCTGAAGTGTTCCTTTCTTTCATCTGCTGATGTCCTTTTGTCTGAATTGGTTGCCTATCTTGAACACTACATTAAAAAAAAATAATTTACTGAGATGCAAAATAGAGAAAATGCAATTATATAAAAAAGTGTAATATAGGAAAGGTCACCAGACACTGATGCTTTGTAGGTTGCCAACAGTGTCAAAAAACGTTCAGTGCCTGAGTGATACTGAGATAAATACCTTTTGAAATATATTAACTTCAGCCAAGTTCTGACTTCCCTTTGCTAAAAAACAGGTTGTTTTAAATTACCTCCAGTTCTAACCATTCTGTTCAAATGGGCATTGATTTGTGAACCTAATGAGATTTTAAGATTTTAAGGGCCGCTTTTAAGACATCAAACCAAATATCTGAGTGTGTTGAATTGCAACTACTAATTTTAACAGTTCAAGAACTTCAGGATAAAGATATTGTCTGCACACACATTCTCAAAGTGTATATATATGCCTTGCTTATGGGAATTCTTAACAACATAATAAAGAAGAATCTAAAACAGAATCACAGTGTTCCATAAAAAAAGAAAACAAACAAAAAAAAAATTAGCATGTAATGTTTTCCCTCAAGTGTCTTCAGTGACTTCAGTGGTAAGAATGTAATAACTCCTGACCAAGCAGTAACATAAAAATGTGACGAACTAAAATTCTGCCCTTGGTTCTGTAGCTTAGTGTGGTGTGCATAGCCTTGAAACTGTAGTTTCACAGATTAAGGTGACTATATTTTCTCATTAGTA